TTGAGCTGCAGACATCAAATAACAATGAAAATCAATATCATTACAGTGAAATAGCTCTAGAAGAGCTCATGAAGTCCAAAAGCGTAACATATCTTGTTCCGGTTCAAATACCAACCTGTCACGAGAGCATAATTGCAAACAAATGTATCAAGATAAGGGAAAGGATTTATAACAGACAGGATATTGTAGTCTTCAAATTCAGTGTTTCCCTTCTGTGCTTCTATTGACCTCCCACTTGTAGCAGATGCTGAACTGAAGGTCAAGTGTGTCTCTGCCTTCAAAAATCCATCCAGAAGTTGGTCTGGATCCTTGGATGGTGCCAATCATCTTCCTTGCATGCCTGAATAACCTCCTGATTGCATTTATCATTGGGGTCTGTCAGTATAAGCTGGATGTGTGGGAGCCATTCTTTATTCCTGTCAGCCCAAAGGAACAACTGTACATGCCCAGAATGCCAATAGTCAATCCTAGCTGCATACCACTGAAGAAAAGGCTGCCCCAAGATAATCTTCCATTGTGATCCAGTAGGGTGACAAGTTATGAAGAGATGCTGAGGGAATTTGTGCTTCCCCAACATCATCAGAACTTCAGTAACAACTCCCTTCAGCTGTTTGGGCCCTCTGTGTACTCCCCTCAATGACCACTTCATGCCTTCAACATTGAGTGGAAGTTTTGTGTTGTTGACAACATCCATAGTCACTAGGTTCAATTCCAACCCCAAATTGATCATAGCTTGAAAGGTTTGCCCTCGAATAGTCACATCAAGTATGCCAGTTACTAAGGAGTATCAATGTCCACAGTTTTTAGCTCTTGGGCTGATGGTTTTGGATGGGAAGGAGGGCTAGGTGGGCAAGACCTGGGTCTGATTGTCTTCTTGGGGTCCTCTGCTGCATGAACTCAGTTGTCCCTTCCATGCTGGGATGCTGGATCAAATCTCACATTTGTATTGTGTCCACTCTGCAATGAAGGATAGGTCCCATATGATTCCTTGTCAGACTCATATTCCAATTCAGAATCCAAGGATGTTACTACAAAAGCATTTCCACCAAATACTTGTTTCCCTTTGTACAATAAAGATGCTGGCATCAACATTCTGTGGTGTGGAGCAGGGTCCTGCATGCCTTGTCTCAGCTCTGTACTTGTGAGAGTGCTAAATGTGGCAACATTGGTAGAGTTTGTCACCCCCACATCCTTCTGGTGATGCAAAAAGGCTGCCACACCTCCTGACTGACCTCTTGGAATTATGGGTAGATTGTTCCCATCCAGAAGAGTATATTGTCTAGTAGTCTGATTATACACTAGCAGCCTTTCTCATACCAATGGCAGAGTTTCTGGACATTTCAATGGAATTGAACCTCCTGCATGGACAGTCCCACATACAAAACAAGACTTCACCTCTTCAAAATGATTGGATTGTAGGTGTGGTGCTGTTGGAGGTTGATTAACTTGATTAGAAGGGTTGGTAGTGGCATTTGCAGAATTTGAAACTACCAAGTTTGCGACAGAAATGGTAAGATTCTTGAGATTCTGTGCCAACAATTCCATCTCAGATTGGTCTGCAAACTGTACAGTCTTTCAACTACAATCTCCTCTAGCTGCAACAGCTGGTTATTCCTGCTTGTAATGGGTTTCGGGGATGTGTGGATGGAGATGTGCAGTGATCTCATCCATGTTGTCTTTGTTGGCATCCCAGTTCCAGTAGATAAGTGAATCTTTGTCCTCCAATCCGGTATTCAAGATTCCAACTACCTTGCTGATCTTTGGTGGCATTGCATGTTTCTTCTTGACATCAGTGAGCTTGGTCATTACAAACTTTGTATCCTTGGTTGGGAGACCCTGCACAAAGTAGTATTGCTGTTTGGTATCAGTGATAACCTTCTCCTTGCAGAGAGGTGCTGAGACAGCAAGGAAGGCCTGATAGTACTGATCAATGTCTGCCTTCTTCATGAGCTTCAGCTTCACACTATAGACCATGCAAAAGTCCTCAATATTGCACTTTGTGAGCTTCAGGGGCTGATTGCCAGTGGAGTACAGTTCTGCAAGCATGTCCTCAGCATCTTTCCAAGTTTTTCCAGACACATCAGGATCAAACTTGGTTTGGAAATGAATGATGCATTGCACATCCACTAAGGAGTATTCAACAATATAGTCAAACAGTTGGTCCTTACTGGTAATACTAGCTCTAGCTCCATGAAGAATGAGCTGTTTCAAGAAATTTTTGACACAGGTTCCATTGAAGTATGGGGCATCCTTTGTACCAGAAACTGGCATCAGTGTAAGAACTGCAGTTATTGGTGCAGGATTGGACATGTTGTTAGTGAGAGATGGAGAAGCAGGGTTCAACTGGTTGGACAAGGAAATGTTCAAATTGGAAGAAGAGGAAGTCATTCGGTTAAATGACAAGGTACTTGACTGGGATGAAGAAGAAGGTGTAATTGAAGGTGGGGTATTCTGTATTGGTGGCATGGTCAATCTGGGAATGATGACAGTACTGCATATAGATCAAAGGTAATTTCAAGTGAGTAGTTTTATTTGAATGTGCTTAACTTGCACACTGATAGCAGCAATAAGCCAGAGTATCTGTATATTATTGGGGTCCAGCTCTATGGAAAACCATATCCCCTGCAGTGGTTACCACTGTAGAAGAAAGAGTTGAACCTCATAAAGTTCTGGGGGTTCATAGTCAAGAGGAAGACAGGAAAAAGAAGTGTAAATGGACTTTCAGAACTGAATGCAATGGAAGAAGGAGCAAGCATCAGGAAAAACTCCCTAATTCCCTGGCCCCCATGAGCTATTATGAAATAGTCTAAGGAGGCCCCAGAGCGATGAGAGCACCCAGAAAACTCTGGTGTCATGTGCTCTTTCAAGGTGCCAAGGGACACCCCACTAATCCTGTGAAAAGAGGAATAGTACTGATGTTATCTGAGGATATCTGATGAACCAAGAGTTGTTACAAGTAAAGAATAGGAGCTCTTTGTTTGAACTTGAGGCAGTATCAGGTTACAAAAGCTAGCCTCAGGCTAGAATTAGAAAAATTGCAATGCATCTCTGATCTATTTGAAGATGGATAGAGTTTCTTCAATGAGTGTCAAGTAGCACTCAGTGCAAATGAAAACCTGCTCATGCCATTTAGAAAGAAAGCTGGGTAGAAATCAAATTGCTAAAAGGATACTCTAGGGCTTCTTGAAATTTCCTCAATACAAGATTAAATTATTCCAGGAAAGATGAGTATATCTTCTGGGTTTGCCAATCTTTCATAGAAATCATTGGAACAACTGGTAAATCACTCCTGTCTACCTTGATTAGTCCATGTTTTCATCTGGAAGAGCTGCATATGGACTTGAAGGACTCATGCATATCCTTGAATGACTCCTGTCTGAATCTCAAAGAGTGTTATGCAAACTTGACAGAGCAGAGTTTTAACCTAAAGGAGTACTGTGCAAACCTCAATGAGCCCAATTTGAATCTAAAGGAGCCTAGTTCAAACCTGGAGAATCCCTGTTTGACCTGAAGGAGTACTGTTTGAACCTGAAAGGACATTGTTTGAACTTGGCAGAGTTTATGTTCACCGGCATTACAGTCAAAACTTTTCAAAATCACACTCAACACAGTATAGTATTCACAGATTCTAATTAATGCTGATAACTATGTATGCTAAAGAAAATTATACATATAACATGGTAGGAGCTGGAGGAGCAAAAGTAATACAGGGTTATATGGAAAGCTTGAGTGTTGAGCCCTACAAATTTTTACTGCTACCTGAAGTTTCAATCTCATCCTCATTCTGCTTCTCACCTTGTTTGATGCCTGAATCAGCCTTATCATCACCCTTTTGCTCACCCCTAACACTGCTTGCCTTATCACTGTCTCCTCCCGGTGGACCATCTGCCCCATTATCACCTGAGCCTGCAACTGCCTGATTCATTTTTACTGCAAAGGCATTCAAAGTGTTATAATTGTATGTCTGAGGAGGGACGACTTCAGAACCAGTGTAATTCCCATAAACAATCACGGAAATTGCGTTCGCAGCAACTTTACTCAATTTCTAAGGCGATACTATAATTGGATCTTAGATGCTTGCGTGTGTGCGGGATTACTCTACATTACCCTACCACACTAGCATTCAACTCCATTCACACTGTTACTAATCGTATACCAAATCCGGTACAGTATGCACTGTGGGGTCTAGTCATGGCACTTACTGGCAGGCCCAATGTACTATACTGTTAATAAATGCTTCGCTTTCTTCTTGTTTAGCCGTTACCAAACAGGCGACAGGTAACTCTTACCGCTGCTGGGCACTTGCAAAGCTGAATGACTATTGTGTATTCAAAGAACACAATAACAGGTATAGAATCTAATTTTATCCTTTCAACAGGAACCAAAGCGAGACCGGAAACACTGAGCTGCCACAGATCTAAAGACCAATAGCAGAAGTAACTGTGTTTATGGTAAAGAAAGTGAATTAGGTAGTAAGACCGAGAATTGTGATACGGTGAAGACAACTTCACTGACATTGCTTAAGTATCATATTTCTAGAGTAAGTAGTGGAGCAGGTACATACGGCCGCACAAACCGCATCGATATTGTAAATTGCCGGTGCCGTACTGTCTTATACAATTACCGTTACGTTCTGGACCTTACTGTAAATTGCCATATTTTTGGGGGCGGATTCCTATGCTAAACTTATGGAAGACTTAGCAAAATGACTCATTTTCATCCTTTCCTCTCTGAAGAATATAATAGTATTTGTCTGCAATGAGTATCACCAAAGTGACAGGCATTGCATTGAAGTAGATAGCATCCTATTATTTTTTATTTTTTATTTTTTTGCAATGCTGAAGACAGCTTTGCCAATGTCATATGCTACTGTTGGATTGAGATTGAATCCACATCCATTGGACACTAATGGTCAAGTAGCTCAGTTGGTTTGATGAGTCATACTGGTGTCCAGATTGGATGGTGGCTTCAGGGGGAGTGTTGGATTGAGATTAAATCCACATTAATTAGCTCAGTTGGTCAGAGCACTGTCCCCAGAAAGTGGCAGGGATCTGGGTTCAATTCCCAGCTTGGTCAATCTTTATTGTTAACAGATTTGCAGTCAGATTAGCAATTGGATGACTAAGTTGGGGCCCTGATGAGTCATGCTAGTGTCCATATTGGATGGTGGCTTCAGGGGGAGTATCCACATCCATTGGACACTAATGGTCAAGTAGCTCAGGTGGTTAAAGCACTGTTCCCAAAAAGTGGCAGGGACCTGGGTTCAATTCCCAGCTTGATCAATCTTTATTGTTAACAGCTACCACCAATGTGGTGAAAGACTGAAAGTCGGTGCATTTTGGTTCTTTGAGACTCTAGCAGTGAAGCGACGGGTATTCTCTCTCAACTGAGGTGATGACTGGTCATCCTCCAATGTCTCAATGAGCTGTTATAGATATTGTTTTGTTTCATCTAACATCAAGCTGATGTGTTACTACTGGGGTGGGAAACCTTTATAGGAATGAGTTGTAAGTTGTTAAGATGTATGATAGTAGGCCAATACTAATTCAACTAACTCAGAGTTGGGGTAGTATTTGGTGCTTTTTTCTGATGGGAAAATTTCATAGAACTTCTTCAGATCAATGTAATGTGCACTGACCATAATTGTATAAATTGCAAACATAAATCAACTCAAAATTGGCAGCCTTGAATGATGCACAAAATTATTGACACATAAACTCAGCATTCCATTTCATTCCATGTACTCATAATTTCTCTTAATAGCTTAAATATTGACTGGTGGAAATACACAGCTGTGTGTTGTAGCATGAGGCAAGCAAGAATTTAGCATATTTAACTCTTGGACATCTTTCCACTTGCCTCTGGGGAAGTAAAGACACTGGTTTTTTATTTAAGTCATTTGCATCTGTGTCAGCAACTTACCAAACTGATTGTGATAGGTCTGTAGTGCATTGCAATGCAGGTATTTCTGTAACTTTGAATCACCCATTCTTGTAAATGCCAAGTTAGGTGTATATCTGTTTAGGAAGTGGTCATTCAATTTATTCCATATATGGAAGAGATTCAATACTAGACTCGGAGCATTGCTTTGAGTGTGGCGAATGATCTTTTTACAAGATCAAAAGATTAGATTTGACTAAAATTCAAGATATTAACCACTTCAGGCAACCACCCAAAGTAACCTACTTAGGGTATAATTTGCTTTTACATGATATTACCCTAAGGAGGTCCAAGATAGGGCATCCTACCCTGGTCTTTTTTTGATGACAGCTGCCCCAGCTTCTCAATTTCTCTTTGGCAGCTGCCCACACTATAAAGATTTCAAGTACTTTGCCCATTGTATATTGCTAAATTGAGCTGCCATAACCAACCTATTTACTTGTAATCCCAGCAACAATTAAAACAATTGCATAGATACTTTTCAAAATACTGGCAATCTTAGACTCAGGATATTCTCCTGTATACTCCATAGCTTTGGATTTGCAAGGTGTGAACTTACAGGTAGTAAAGATTCATCCTGTATGAGATGGCTTGCTCTGGAGAAAGTTTTGAGGAGGTTGTGATTTGACTGTTTGGTCCATAGGTTGCTATCTGATGTAGTACATGTGTTTGAATTTTGAAGGTATGCATTCACAGATTCAGGTATACACATACAGACTGATGTGCATAGGTTTGGATTTACAATGTGTGCTCTCTTAGGTTCACTCAGTAGGCATGTGCTATATGATGTGGAGCAACATGTACTGAGAGGTGCATAATGAAATGATGGAAACAATTGCATTGGTTGCATTGGGGAAGAGTGAGTACTCCTCATCAAGTATCATATGAATAGACTTTACTTGAGAGGCATCCACAGGCTTCAATAAAAGTGATTGATGGAAATGTATAATCTGTCCCACAGTAAGCAGGTAGGGCAATTGGTACAACAATGGTTCAATGCTATTAGGCTTGCTTCAGACTCAGATTGTAAAAAGAGACCAGTAGGCTTACAGGGTCTAGAACTGCCTTGATATCAATCCCAGCCTCAGGATCCTCCACGACAAGTAAGTATCCTCTACAAACATTTCCAAGATGATCATTAACAACTCTACAGGCAGCTTACTCACTGCTGTGGTAATGAACTGAATTTTGTTAGATAGCCAGCCTGGCAATTACATTTAACAAGAAAACATGGCTGGAGAATTCAGAACTCACCTTTTCAACAATAGCAGCAGCGGGTTTGAGAAGAAGCATACAAATGACCTCAGCTGACCTTCTAGGTGCTGCCTGTAAAAGATTAAGACAATGTGCTGACAAAATGGTAGTACTCACTGCTAAAAAGTCCTGGTAAAAAGTCAAGGTGAGAAGAAAAAAAAAGTTCCCAAGCTCAGCTCATTTTATCCTGCATCCTAAAGGAACTTGTGTAAGCCAGGCACTTTTGAAACTTCACAGAAAAGGACAGCTGGGAAGGACAAGACATGCAATAAAAAATAGGGTGAACAAAAGTAGGATGAATGGAAGATGAGGTAGGGGAGGGGGCAAGAGCAGAAAGGTGATGGAGCAAGGGGAGGAAGGTGACAGGAACAGGAGAGAAAAGGAGCAGGAACAGGAGTAGGAGTAGAAGGAAGCAGGAGGTGAAGGGAACAGGAGCTGGAATAGAAGGGAGCCGGAGTAGAAGGGAGCAGGAGTAGGAGGAAGCAGAAGCAGGAGAGAGTGGAAGCAGGAGCAGAAGGGAGCAGAAGGGAGCAGGAGGTGACAAGAGCAGGAGCAGGAGTAGGAAGGGAAATAGAAGCAGAACAGAGCAGGAACAGGAGCAGGAGGGGAAACAGGAGCAGGAGGGAAAACAAGAGCAGAATGGACAGGAATAGGAGCAGGAGGGAAAACAGGAGCAGGAGGAAGAGAGAACAGCAGGGAGCAGGAATAGGAGCAGGAGGGAGTAGAAAGGAACAGCAGGGAGAGGGAACAGCAGGGAGAAGGGAGGGGGGGGGGAGGAACAGGAGGAAGTAGGAGGGAGCAAAGGGGGGAGCAGGAGAGAAAGAAGGAAGGTTCACAGAAGCAAGGAAGCAGTAGTAACAAAGGGGAGGGAATAGAAAGGGGAGGAGGAAGGAAATAACATAGCAGCATGAGGGTTGCTGCTCCAATGTGTCTTCACTAGTACCAATGTGTATGCTCAATGTAATCAACACCAAAGCATGGTGAATTGGTACTAAGACATATTGAAGGAGTAACTGCCAATGACTTTTATAAAATAGAATGAATTTGTGCCCTCATTGCAATGAACATTATAGTATGGAAATAATAGGTATGAATGGAACAATCAAGATTGGCATATTAACCCCCAGAGTACATCTCGGAAGGGATTTAAGAGTGCTATATCTGATTACCAACAGGGAGGAAAATAACCAAGTACTGATGGACAGTGAGCCTTAAACAAAAACAAAAAACAAAAACTCACCTTTGCACAAGCACTGCAATTTACACCAAGGGATACTGAAGCTTCATGGATAAACTGCCTGTCAAATATTCCAACAATGAAAAGCAATAGTGATGTTTAGAGGCAAAAAGTCTGGCAAGAAAAGTGATCAATGTGAAAACACATTCAGAGGAATAGAAACTTACCTATTATATTATAGCAACAGCAGATTTGAAGAGAAGTCCAACCAATGAGTCCTCCACTGACCTTTCAGATATTGCCTGTGCATGATTAGGGCAATGAAGCAATGAGTTTGGTGGTACTCACCACTATAAAGTCATGGTAACAAGTCAAGGTGGGAAGGAAAAAAAATTCTCAGGTTCAGCTTGCCTTATCCCGCACACTCAATGAGCCTGCATAAGCTGAGTGCTTCAGTGCCCCCTCTCCTTATTAGGACTTATGTCCAGTGAAAATTGACCCATGCCAGGCCAAGCGAAAATGAGCATTACTTGTGCAATTCACTTTGTATGTAGCTGTCAAGAGGTGTCAAGACTTCAAAACAGTCATTCTCATTATCTGTTAATCCTTCATTGGCTTGCTATTACTCATTCAGGCTCATTAGTGTTTGGATACTATTTACTATATACAGCAATACAAAATGGTACTATACATGTGTAGTTACCACATAATAGTTAAACAATGGCAACTCTGACAGCAGGCATACACAAAAGCTAAGAAAATCAGAATCAATAAAGCCCAAAACAATAAACCATGCTACTAACCTAACAATGCAATGATGGCCAAGCAGTGATTTGAGCACACATGAAAACTAAGATTATCACAGTCAGTTATGCCCAAAGTGATAAACATTGGTACTCACATAAAAATGCAGCAAAACCCAGGAAGCTATGCTTGACAATATGAATGCAATGGGAGTTGAAGTGGCTGGGGCTGCAATATCCTGTTAAACAGATCAGATCAATGTACAGGAAGATAAGAGCTTACCTACCATTGTTCCTCATCTCCTTTACTTGACACTTTGATTCCAATTCTATAGAATGGGAATGCGTGAACAGTCAAGATGGATCAAAAAGAAACACATACATTTTGCCTGTACCTCCTCTGCCCATTTGGCTTTGAGATGATCACTGGGAAATGTCAGTCTGAAGCCAAAACACTAGATCATTCATGAGGACTTACATTCTATTGAGAAAGGTTGCAAGTGAAAAAGTGTGGAGATGAATGCAGCATTGTCAAACCTAGAGACATTTTGTTCAAATAGATATATGACAGCAAAGAAGTAGATGACATACCAGGAAGAGGTATATGGAATCTTGAGTTAGTGATTGAAAATATTGATGAGATTCATTTCAGTTTGGAGATGTGGCCAATGTGAGAATAATCTACAAGAGATTCAGTGAGTAACATACTAAATGAAACCGATACAAAATGAAACTGACACAGAGGATGAAGAAGTTGATATTAGAGGTCATCAGTGCATCAATAGCAGGATAATGTGAATGTTGCAGGTGCTTCTTTGCTGGCAGCAGTTTCTACAGGTCATTGGCAATGTCTCCATTTATGTTAGGGGCACTGATATCAAAATTGACTGGCTGTCGAATGTGATACCAATAGGAAGAGACAGGAGGAAGAGCAGGAGCAGGAGCAGGAGCAGGAGGAGTGGGAACAGGAACAAGAACAGGAGCAGGAGCAGGAGCAGGAGCAGGAGCAGGAGGAGCAGGAACAGAAACAGGAGGAAGAGGAGCAGGAAGAAGGGTGGGGAGGAGAGTGAAAGAAGGAAGGGGAGGAGAGTGAAAGAAGGGAGGGGAAGGAGAGTGAAAGAAGGAAGGAGAAGGAGAGTGAAAGAGGGAGGAAAAGGAGAGTGGAAGA